CCAGGCTCGACCGACGGCGAGTCCTGAGCCGGGGACTCCAGGTAACGGGGAGAAACCCGGGGCAGGGATGTGCCCCCCCGCCGCAGCGGGTCCTTGCCCAGGGCTGGAGCGGGCAGGATTCGGCCCCGGGGATGTTGCCAGGAGCAGCGGCTCCTTTGGGAAGAGGAAGGTGGCGGAGAGGGAGCCGCGGGGCTCCCCGGGGACGGGGCACGCAGCCCAGCTCCCGCGACACGTCCCCCGGGGTCCCGTCGCCCCGGGAGGGCTGAATCCCGGTGAGATGAGGGCTGGGGGATGTGGGATGCTGGAGGGAGGAGGGCAGGGGCGGCTGTGGGCTGCCCAAAAGATGGGGGGAAGCAGGGACCCTCCTGCCCCCCGTCCCCACGCTGCTCCGCGGAGGCTCAGGCTCAGTCCTGGGTGGAGGCTCCGTCCGTGCGCTGCGACCCCGGGAGAAAAATCCCAACGTTTCTCGAGGCACCCCCAGAAAAAGCATCCAAAACCCCAGCAAGAAGCACTAGGCGGGGGATTTCCTTCATTTCAAGGGGTTTCTCTTCCCCACAGGGGATTTGGAGGAGCCCTGAGCAAGGAACGGATTCTCCCGGCTGCCATGGAGCCGTGGGTGATGCTGGACCCACGGCAGAAGGCCCTGTACCGGGATGTGATGCAGGAGAGCTACGAAACGCTGATGTCCCTTGGTAGGCAAACACAAAAAATCCTCTTTCCTTCTTGAACATCCCCCCACCCCCCTTTTTTCCTTGCTCCTTTTTTTTCCTGTCTCTGGCAGGGAAGCAAAGGGACTGCGCGCGGGATGGGAAGCGGGAACGAGGGATCTAGGCAGGTTTTGAGGGGGATTTCCCCAAACCCCATCTCTCTCCTTGATTTTTTTTTTTTCCCTGCAGGAAAATGTTGTTGATCTCTCCGCATTTTTTTTGCCATTTTTTTTTTTTTCAATTGGAAACACAGGCAATGTGGCGTGCTTAGCATTTCCACGTTCCCAGTTCAAACTGGGATCAGGTCTCCCATTACATCTCTCTTCCTCCTCTCTGGGAGACCAGGTTAAAATTTTAGGGGAATGCTGTTCCTGCTCCAGCCATTTAAATGCCACCCCCTGCTGCGGTCAGGGCCCCGCTCTCCCCTTTTCCTCCTTCTCCCATTTCCCCAGCAGCACAGGGGCTGGTGAATGAAAAAGCAGCCGAGGAAAGAGCGGCAGAGGAGAGCCGCGAGGAGCTCCAAGCGCGCCCGTCCCGCAGCCCGGAGAGGGAGAAGACCCTCGGCTCCAACAGGCGGAAAACGAAGCGCCCGGATAAAGCTGTGCCGCACGGCACCGCCAAGATGCCTAAAGCTGTGGTGGTCCCCAAACTGGACTGCGCCAAGCCCCTACGCGGGGCGGCGGGCAAGGGACCAGCACGGGAACGGCCGTTCGGCTGCGCCGACTGCGGCAAGAGCTTCCCGTGGGCTTCGCACTTGGAGCGGCACCGGCGGGTGCACACCGGCGAGC